CAAATTCAGTGGAGGTACTGGCGTGGATCGCCTTTCCGTGGGTTGCCACTCTCTCTTCCTTGGGTGGGTTCCCCTTTCTTAACCTTAAGAGGGCCATGGCGGATGCATTTGTGGTGGTCGTCGGGTGGCTTTGTGGTGGCGATGGGCGCTTGGTCATTTAGCGGCTGAGGCTCGCGGCTTGCTACTTTGCAGCTCTGCTTCTCCACAACTGTTTCGACCGTGGTGTTGGGCTAACAAGGGTTGTAGCCGGCGGCTGCGGTGATGAGTTGTCGTCGGCTGGTGTGGGGGTCTTTGCGCGGCTTCACTGGTGCTAGTCCGAGGGTGATCCTGGGTAGGGCTTCATCTTTGGTTTGAGTCTTGACAGCGGGTCGCGGAGCTTCTAGGATATTGGGCCGAGATTTGATCCCATTGGGTTGTCATTTGGGTGTTGGTTTGCTTGAGGTTGTTAGGCGAGGTTTGGTCGTTGTACAGAGGGCTTTAGTCTATATTTTGTATTTTTTTTTATTTTTTATTTTTTGTGTTTCATGTGTGTTCTTGTGTGTTTTTGGTCTTTTCTCTCCCATTCGGAGTGTGTTTTTTGTAGTATCCCTATGTGGAGTGTTTCATCTCCCTTTGGCCATGAAGGGTCGTGTAGGAGAACACTTGTTGTGTTTTCCCCCGTTTGATTTCCTTTCTAGTCTAAACAAGTAAAAGGTGTCAAGTGTAATCTGTTGATTACTGGTTTGTACTTTCGAAGCATGGTAATACAATTTGATGTTTGAGAAACAGAAAAAAAAGAACAAAAACCAACTGTTCCAATTATTGTGAAAAAGTGGTCCACATCAGGGTTGCAAACGAACCGAGTCGCTCGCGAGCGCTCGAATCAAAGCTAGACTCGAGCTCGAGTTTGACCGAACTTGAGTTGAGCTCAAGCGGCTCGAGCACGAACTCAAGTCGAGCTCGAGCCCATATTTTGCATTGTCGAGCGGCTTGAGATATATGGTGAATTACTAAAATACCCCATATATATTTATATATATAGTATAGCATAGGTGCTTAATGGTAATTTTATTTTTTTACTTAAAAATTTTGGAGCTAAACTCGAGCTAAGCTCGAACGATAGTACTTTTTAAGCAGCTAAAAAAAATAAATTCTACTCGATAAGGTCAATGTTCAACTCGACACGATTCATTTACAGCTCTAGTCCACATATATATCAAAATCAATATTCCAGTATTTTGGACAATTTGTCATTAATTGACCACCGAAATCCAGGGGAAATGGACAGTAAGCAAATGTCAAATCTGGTGAGCATAAGCAATATTCCAGTATTTTGGATAATTTGTAATTGATTGAGGACCCAAATCCAAGGGAAATTGACAATAAGCAAATGCCAAATCTGGTGAGCATAAGCATATGTGTCTTACACACAAGTTGGTGCATATATACAATACACCTCATACTCTAATCTCCTTATCTTGTGGAACAATTTCATCTCATCTTTCTTTCCTTTTCCAAGCCGATTCACCTATTTCAACCATCTTTCGCCAAATGCTATATGATGTAACTCTCTCAAAATTAATGATTCTCTAATTTCCAATTTATTATGGTCCTCATGCTTTCGTTTTTCATTTGATTAAACGCTAAGGACTCATTCTATGCCCATTTCGTTTTCTTCAGCTTTTTGAATGATTCAAACTTAAATTAATACGTAGTTCGTGCTATGAACAGTAAAGAGATGTTAAATAAATGATTGTCATATCGTTTTTTTGTTTAGACTCTAAAAGGGGATATCTATTTTTCACATTTTTTAATCAGTGTTTTTTTAAAACTAGAAAGTTAAACCGTAATCTATTATGGCCAGCATGTAAGTTAATTAATATAGTATCCCGCTAATAGGTTTATACTAATAATGTTATATATATATAGGAGGCGGATCAAATTAGACCAACTCTTAAAATGGGACCAGCTCTTAGCAACTACAGACAACTAACCTAGCAACTATAGAGAACTAACCTAGCAACTACAGACAACTAACCTAGCTACTACTAACCTAGCAACTACAGAGAACTAATCTAGCAACTACTAACTTAGCAACTACTATCTTAGCAACTACAGAGAACTAACCTGGCAGTAAGAAAGAAATAACCTAGCAACAAAAGACAACTAACCTAGCAGCATCAGACAACTAACCTAGCAGCAAGAATGAAATAACCTATATGCGAGAAGACGGTGTTGTGGATGCAGGTCCCTCAACAGCAAATCCCGCTGCACTCGGGTCTCTGCCGGGCACTTCCACTGGCCCGCTCTCTTTCCGAGAAGCTATTATGGGGAAGAGAGATGACGTTCCGGGCGGAAAGATTAACCCGCGGCCGATACCCAAGGAGTTTATCTTTGACGGGGACTATGACCACGCTTGCGGGACCATCATCCGCTCGGAGGGAAACAGAGTGAAGGTCCGATTCTCACAGGCCGAAGCTGACACCCTCGCAGGTAAGTTAGCGAACACACTGGTCTTTAAGTTCACCTATGCTATCCCTCCCCCCCGAGACCTAGCTGCTGGATTAGGAAAATTGGGATTTAAGGGTAGGCTTTCTTTTAAGTGGTATAACTTCAATCACCTTTTAGTCTCCTTTAATCTCCCCGAAGATTATAATGAGTCATGGATTAGGACTTCTATTTCTGTGTGTGGATGCCCAGCTAGGGTATTCAAGTACACTTCCGGGTTCAACCCGAAGACGGAGACGCTAGTAGTCCCCGTGTGGTGCCGCCTCACCGGCCTTCCACCACATCTGTATGACCGGGATTCCATCACCACACTTGCTAAGTGTGTCGGAAAACCGGTCCGCATTGATGCCTCGACTGCTCTCCAGTCCAGGGCTAATATGGCACGGTTCTGTGTCCAGATTGATCTTAGAGTGGAGCCTATCCACGAGATTGAGATTGAGCAGGGTTCGGAGACCTTTGCTCAGCGGGTGATCTACGAGAAGATCCCCGCTTTCTGTTCCGCGTGCAGCCATGTTGGCTATATAGCGGTCGACTGCTATATCAGTGGCAATAAGCCACGACCCGCTCCGCCTCAGCGCCGTCGTACGGCCCAGCTGGGACCCTCCAACAGCCGGAGGGAACCGAAGGGAAAGGGCAAAGGCCCTCTCCAGACACCCGGATCCCCAAAGGGGGCCACGGATAAGGGCAAGGCGAAGATAGACGTCACGGCCCAAACTGGGAAGGATGCTCATCCTGACCAGTCAGACCGATTGATCATAGTTGGGCCCAAGGCCAAGGCTACGGGTTTTATTCCCAGAGAGACACTTCAGTCGGCCTTCAAGGCCAAACACTCGTTCTTTGCACCCCTCTCCCCTGAGTCAAAGGATGAGGCTGAGAATTCCTCTAGGGACCCACACGGTCTCTCGGATCTTGGCCTTTTAGAGGACGACGACCTCCTAGTAGATGATCTAGAGCAGCCGGCCACTTTGCCCACTGGCCCGGCCACCCATTTATCCCATGACAGCACTCGTGACGTTGTCCCTTTATCTGTCCTCCCACATAGCCAGGATTGCTCTCTGGAGATGAGGACGGCTCCTGCCACCGCTTCCTCGAAAGGGGAATTGCCGACTCATCTCCCCTCTGCGGAGATTGAGATTTCGACTGAGCCTATAGCTCTCCAGCCACACTCTGACGGCGAGTACCTGAGTGCTCTGCCGGATGGAATCTCTTCCCCTCTCCTCTTTGAGCAGGCATGCGGTCTTAACCGCGCTCAACACGACGTCTCGTGTGAGAGTTTTGCCTCTAGTGCTTTCGTGCACCATGACAAACAGGAGGCATGCCCGGACATGGGGCAGGCACCTAGTGTCAGTCTTGGTCAGACTGCTCAGCCTGACGATTCGCAGGCCACGAGCGCTTTCCGATGGCGTTCCCCCTCGAATACCATACCCATACCGCGCATGAAGAGGCGGACTGTCTCTCCAGTTCTTCGTCGATCCTCTCGCCACCTACCCCCTCCCTCAGGTGGTCTGACTCAGCCTCGCCACAAGCGGACCCCGTCCGGTGGCTCTTCTGATTGCTGATATGTCTATCACGTCCATTACTTGGAATGGACGGGGAATGACTAATAGGGCCACTCTCGCTCACCTACGCTCTCTCATTCGTGATCATAGATTGGATTTTGTCGGCTTTATTGAGCCGATGATTCGCACCCCTGACTTTGACTATCTCTCACGTCGTCTTGGTTTCCATTCGGGCGTGGGTAACATTTCTCATATGATCTTCTTCTTCCACTCGCATGACTACACTTGTCGGGTCCTCCGGGACACCGATCAGGTGCTTCATGTCGAGCTTTCTACTGCCCATCTCCCTGAACCCATATTTCACACTTTGGTTTACGCCAAGTGTAACAGAGTCGGGAAATACGATCTGTGGGACACCCTGCGTGAGATTGCTGAGAGTATGGAGGGATTGCCATGGATGGTTAGTGGCGATTTCAACATCTTTCTGCACCCCGATGAGCGTGTGGGTGGCCGCACGGACCGGTCCCGGGAGATGTGGGACTTTGTTCAGACTGTGGCGGACTGTGAGTTGATAGATGATGGATGTGAGGGTGAGCCCTTCACGTGGGTTAGGGATGACCTCTAAGAGAGGCTCGACCGTGCTTTGGTTTCTGAAGCGTGGGCGAAGGTGTTTGCGGTCACGATCGTCACGCATCTCACTCGATTTGGGTCTGACCATTCACCACTCCTCATTAGGTGTCGCTTCTCGAGCACTCCCCGCCGCGCTTCCTTTAGGTTCCAGAACATGTGGGTTCGCCACCACTCTTTCCATGACACTGTCAGGGATTCCTGGCTTCAACCGACAGGGCTCCTCGGGATGCGCAATCTCGAAGCTAAGCTCGGTAGATTACGGAGTAGGTTGAGACAGTGGAACTGGGATGTTTTTGGAAACCTCCATCAGCGCCTTTCTGCGGCTAAGAGTGCGCACGCGGAGGCTGAGCGGGCCTATGACCTGGATCCCACTCCGGAGAATAGGACTGCGATGCACCGCTGCCACGCAGAGTACCAGCTCCGACTCCTTATGGAGGAGGATTTCTAGAAGCAGAAGGCGGTCGTTCGCTAGGTGGCAGAGGGCGAGCGGAACACGAGGTTCTTCCAGGGCTTCGTTAGGCAGAAGCGTGCTAAGTCGTACATCCATAGTATTGAGGCAGATGGGTCATTCCTGACCCAGGAGTCTCAGATTCGGGAGTCGGCTGTTGCTCACTTCCAGACACTCTTCACCTCTGACAGAGGATCCCTCGTTGCCCCGACCGTCTCTTTCTTCCCTACCATCCCTTCTTCGGTCGACCTAGTCGACCTCTATGAGCTTTCGAGCAAGGAGGAGGTTAGGGATGCTGTTTTTTGGATTGATCCCAACAGCGTTTCTGGCCCCGATGGGTTCTCTTCCCTCTTCTATCAGATTTGCTGGGATATAGTCGAGCCTGATGTTGAGGAGGCAGTTTTGGATTTCTTCACCGGTCACTGGATGTCGGATTCCTTCACGGCTACCTCTGTCGTCTTGATTCCAAAAGACCCAATCCGAGCTCTTGGTCCGACTACAGGCCAATCAGCCTGTGTAACGTCACCAATAAGCTTATTTCGAAAATTCTTAACGGCCGTCTTTCCCCTATTCTCCCCTCCCTCATCTCTCCGAACCAGAGTGGCTTCGTCAAGGATCGGGTTATTAGTGATAACATACTTTTGGCCCAGGAGATGATCCACGATATCTCCCATGCAGACTGGAAGCGGGCACCGAACATTGCGCTGAAGCTAGACATGGCTAAGGCGTATGATAGAGTGGAGTGGCCGTTCCTTAGGGAGGCACTGGCTAGGATGGGATTCCCGGAGCGATGGATCAGCTTCATAGAGGCGTGTGTGGAGCATTGCACGTTCTCTGTCCTGGTTAATGACAGCCCCACAGATTTTTTTCCATCGTCTAGAGGCCTTAAACAGGGAGACCCCCTCTCCCCGTCCCTTTTTGTTCTTGCGGCAGACTATCTCTCTCGCTGCCTCGACGGTTTTATCCGCGAATATCCTCAGATGACATATAGCACCCGTGGCTATAGTCCACCTGTCTCGCACCTATCTTATGCGGATGATATCATCATCTTCACTCGTGCAGATGATGATGGGCTGATCGAGCTTATGCACCTTCTGGAGCATTATAGCTCGGTTACTGGCCAGCTGATCAGTGTGCAGAAGGGCACCTTCACCCTTTCCTCCTCCAGCGCGGACAGATGGGCTCAGCGAGTCCACGAGATCACTTGCTTTGCGCACGGCGACCTTCCCATTACCTACCTTGGTGCCCCTTTATATAAGGGCAACCTCACGAGAGCGCTCTTTGCGGGCATCAGGCAGAGGATTATAGATAGGATTTCTGGTTGGTCGCATAGACATCTTTCGTTCGGTGGTTGGCTGGCTCTGATCAAGAGCACCCTTAGCTCCTTTCCGCTTCATTTACTTATGGTCCTCGACCCCCCTAGGTCCACCCTTGACGAGATTCACCAGATCATGGCTCGTTATTTCTGGGGTTACGAGGATGGTTCGGGGAGGGGGAGACGTACCCATTGGGTGAGTTGGGACTCTATCTGCCGCCCTCTCCCTGAGGGTGGCCTTGGCATCCGTCGTCTTAGGGATATTGTTACTGCCTTCTAATACAAGTTGTGGTGGCGCTTCAGTGAAGGAAAGCCGCTTTGGGCCCAGTACCTTCGCGGCAAGTACTGCTCTAGACGCGCCAACCACCCTTGTTGGGTGACGGCGGTTGCGCATGATAGTAGACAGTGGCGGCGCCTTACTAGGGTTAGTAGGCGCGCCCAGGATCACATTTTTTGGGTTTTAGGGGTTGACGAGGTTAGTTTCTGGGATGAGTGGTGGTTAGGTGATAGGCCGTTGTCTAGAGATAGGCAGGTGTCGCATTCCCCCTACCTGCTTGTGCGCGACCTTTGGACGGACGGGTCATGGGATAGGGGGAAGCTTGATAGAGAGTTGGGCTCCGGGGCGGGTTTTAGTGAGCAGTTATTGGATAGGATCCAGCAGATACCCATCTCGGGGGACGGTTCGGATGGTATAAGGTGGAGACTTACATCATCGGGTGTGTTTTCTACTACCTCGGCTTGGGAGCAGATCAGGCTGAGAGATCGGCCGAATCGTCTCTTCGGAGCCATCTGGAGCGATCTTTTCACCCCTACCATATCTGTTTTCCTTTGGCGCCTCCTCCTGCACTAAATACCCGTGGACACTGTGTTACATGCGAGGGGGATCTCCTTCCTCTCCCGATGTGTGTGTTGTTCTGAGACCGGACGTCATGCGACCGAGACCTTTACCCACCTTTTTCTAGAGAGTGAGATTGTGAGGAGAGTGTGGGAGCATTTTGCTACTTGGACTCATATATCCCTACCCTCCACAGACAGTTTTTTTGAGCTCCTGAGTTTTTTCTGACAGAGCACACACTTTAGACACGTGAGCTTCCTCATTCCTTGTCTGATCCTTTGTTTCACCTGGACAGAAAGGAATAGTGCGAAGCATAGGGATATTACTTTTTAGCTTTCTCACATTGTTTTGCAGGTGGAGAGATACGTCTCGCTCCTCACAGCATTGGGCAGGCTTTCTGCACGTGACTGGACAAGCAGCATGCCACCGCACCGCTACAGGGTGACTCCCCCTCCGCCTGTTCGGTCCTTTCAGCCCAGAGCTGTTGTTTGGCTTCGACCCGACTCTCCTTGGGTCAAGCTGAACACCGATGGGTCTTTCGATCTCCATAGCGGTACTGCCGGAGGAGGAGGCTTGATCCGGGACCACAGTGGAACTCTTATCACCGCATTCCACACATCCCTTCAGGCATCCTCGAGCTACGATGCAGAGATTCAGGCATTACAGATTGGCCTTCAGATTGCTGCCGACCTCTCTAGTCATATCTGGATTGAGCTGGACGTTGCGGCTGTCGTCACCCTCCTGGCCTCAGGTCATCAGGGCTCGTGGCAGATTCAACACCCACTTATGCGCATTAGAGATCTACTTCGGTCTGTCCATTACAGAATCACACACATCTTCCGTGAGGGGAACAGGCCTGCTGATTACCTTGCCAGTCTTGGCGCTTCCATACCAGACACGCACACGTATCAGACCAACACTGCTTCACTCCGCCTTCGCACGCTAGTTCGGATGGATCAGCTGGGATATCCATCGTTTCGATTCCAGTAGTTTAGGTTTTTGGTTTTGTACTTCTTAGACCATCTATTTATTCCGGGCACCTGTTAGCCCGATGACAAACCTTGTTTTTTCCATTTTCTGTTTTCGTTTCTGTTTGGATTGTGAGACTATGTTGATACTTTGGGCCCCAGTTTCCGGGTCTTGATCTATGTACAGGTTGGGGATTCTGCCCAATNCATTTCTCCACCATTTCGCACTCCAAACTTCAGATTCATAGCTGTTCGCCGGCGGGCCACCACCGCCGCCGCCAGAGCCGCCTGACCTCCCTTCACCTTCCTCCCTATTATCCGGTCCCAGTTCATCCATATATGGCCCCGATCCCGATTCCGCCTGCTTCCCCGTTTCTGCGAGTTCAGGCCACACAACCGGAGCAACCTTTCCTCCGAGCTCCTTCTCCTCAACCTACAACACCGGTAGTCAACCCCGACCTTACTTCTTTGATTTCAACAGAAGTAATGAGAGCCCTCCAAAAGCTCCTATCACCAAGCTCAAATTTGGAGGAGGGAGAAATACCTCGGCAGGTCACTGAAATTTCGTGTGGCCCCGTCGCTGGAATGGAGGTCCCTAACCTCCGACCGAGTGGAAGACGTTGTCCGGTGACGTTTGGGTCCTTGCCGTCGGAAGTTCCCCCATCGGTCAACCCTAAAACATTTGCTGCAGACGGCGTCACAGGGAATCCTTCCCCCCAGCTCCCCGATGACGTGGCTTCGATCTCAATCCTCCACGAGAATAATCCCAATTCCCTTAGCTTTCCCTCAGCTATCGGATCTGGACCCAATCCCCTCATCAAAATTCCCAGGCCCATATCACAACCTTCAACTGGGCCCAATCTGTCAAGCCCAGACACAATCCAGTCATCTCAACCCTCAACCCACACCTCGCGGGCCCTCAGCTTTCGGGCCCACGACTTGCCACAACCCTCGTCAGCCCAGCCCGGACTCTCTCAACCCGCAACCAACCAAATCAGCTCCCATCGCGTCAACCGTAACATCCAACCTGCTGACGTCGTCCACCCGGCAGCTTCCGCCCCCTGCGGCCACCCCCAAGCCGCCATCGACATCCAACCGACTAGAGACGGCTGCCGGACCTACACCGGAGAACCTCCGCAGACAGATCTCAGAATTCTCGGGGCCCAACCATCCTCACCATCTCCGACCGTCGCCGGAAAATCAGAACTCCGGCCGGTAGGTAATCGATGCCCAGTTGAGTTTGGAACTTTGCCGACTAATGCTCTCTCGTCGGTTGAAGAAAATCCTCAGCTGCTCGCAAACGTGGCCTCAATCCCGCCTCTTCACGTGGCCAAGCAATATCTTACCTCATTTGGGCCTAGTACCAGGCCCAAATCCGCATCTCACAATGGGCTGCCTCCTTTTGGGACAAAATCATCCAATAATCCCACAACCCACATAAAATCACCCTCAGCCCTCAAGGCCCAATTCGCATCCCAGCCAATCCTCCAAAACATTCAGCCCAATCCCCCATCACCCCATAATCAGGCGCCAAAAACCGTCAATCCCCAACAGCACACAAAACCCGTCACCAACATTCAGCACCTTGCCACCACAAACCATCAACCCGCCGCCGCTGTTGTTCCACTCACCGGCGCCGGCACAGTCACGGCAACCGAAAAATCTCAGCCAGCCGGCCCTCCTCCTGGGATGGCTTCGGAATCGAATATTACGGCCGGAATCCTCGGACCAAGGCCTAGCTCGCCTTCTCCGACCAACCACCTTGCCGGAGCTGCCTTGTTTACGGCCAGAAATCCAGAACCGGACGTTTTGTATGTGCGAGAAGACGGTGTTGTGGTTACAGATCCTAACGCGACGTACCCGGCATTTTTTTCGGGACAATCTCCGAAGGGGATACCGCCATCGAGCACCTACACGGCCAATACCATCGCAGTCGGTCCTCCTCCGACCTTAAACACTGGCCCACTCTCCTTTCGGGAAGCTATTACGGGGAAGAGAGATGGCGGCACGGGCGCCCCGCGACCGACGGCCAAGGATTTTGCATTTGACGGGGGATACGAACATGCCTGCGGAACCATCATCCGCTCAGAGGGAAACAAGGTGAAGGCCAGATACACTGAAGCCGAATCTGTTGCTCTTGCAGGTAAGCTAGCTAACACCCTGGTATTTAAGTTTTCTTATGCTATCCCTGACCCTCGAAATATATCTGCTGGTTTAGGCAAATTGGGTTTTAAGGGTAGAGTATCATCTAAGTGGTACAATTTCAACCACCTCCTAGTGTCTTTCCACCTCCCCGAGGACTATAACGAGGTCTGGCTTAAGACCTCGGTTCATATGTGTGGATGCCCAACTAGGGTGTTCAAATATTATGCCGGGTTTAACCCGAAGACGGAGGCGCCGGTTGTCCCCGTGTGGTGCCGCCTTCCCGGCCTACCACCCCATCTTTACGATCGTGCTGCCATCACTACACTAGCTAAGTGTATTGGGCAGCCGATTCGTATCGACGCCCCGACGGCCCTTCAGACGAGGGCTAACGTGGCGCGATTTTGCGTCGAGATAGATCTGAGAGCTGAGCTCGTTCATGAGATTGAGATTGAACAGGGCTCGGAGTCTCTTGTTCAGCGGGTGATCTATGAGAAGATCCCCGCTTTCTGCACCTCGTGCAGCCATGTGGGTCATGTCGCGGCCGATTGCTACATCAGTGGTAATAAGCCACGGCCTGCCCTCCCGCAGCGCCATCGTGCGACCCAGCAGGGAACCTCCACCAGCCGGAGGGACCCGAAGGGAAAGGGCAAAAGTCCTCTCCGCGCGCCCGAGACTCCGAAGGGGTCTAAGGATAAGGGCAAGGCTGTGATTGTCGATACTGCCCAAACTGGGAAGGATGCTCATCCTAACCAGCCTAAGCAGTTGGCCTTAGTGGGTCCCAAGCCCAAGACCACGGGTTTTATCCCCAGACAGACCTTACAGACGGTCTTCAAGGCCAACCACTCGTATTTCGCTATTCTCTCCCCTGAGGCAGAGAAGGAGACTGTTCCTTTCTCCAGCAGGCCACCTAAGAGTACCGATTTTACGCTTCTGGATGACGATGACCTCCTTGGAGACGACATGGACCAGCCGGACGCCACGCCCAGGAGAGAGTCCATCCACCTATCCGATGATAGTGTGCGCGATGCTGGTCCTTTGACCGTGCGCGCATCTAGCCCGGTCCGATCTTCGGATTCGAGGGCTACTGCCGCCACCGCTCACCCGAAAGGGGATGAGTCGGCCTACCCCACCCCTGCTGAGATTCGGAGCTCGGTCGAGCTGATAGCCAGCTCCCAGCCTCCTCCTACCGGCGAGCACCCGAGTGCTCTGCCTGTTGGACCCTCTCTTTCACCCATCCCCGAGCAGATATTCGGGCTCAACCGCGCGCAGCATGACGTCTCGTGCGAGAGCTTCGCCTCTAGTGCATTTCTTCACCTTGACAGACAGGAGACAGCCCCAGAGATGGGGCAACCCGCTAGTGCTGCTATAGGTCAGTTTGTCCAGCCAGACGACTCACAGGCCACGAGTACATACCGAGGCAGACAGACCTCGAGGACCAGAGCCACGCAGCACACGAGACGGTGGACGATCTCCCCTGCTATTGGACCCTTCCGCCGTACGACACGACGGACGATCTCCCATTCTTTAGGTGGCCCGAATCAGCCCCGTCATAGGCGGACTACGTCTGGTGGCTCTTGTGACCGTTGATATGTCCATCACATCCATTACTTGGAACGGCCGTGGCCTGGCGAGCAGGGCTACTCTTTCTCACCTTCATTCTCTCATTCGTGACCACATAGTCGATTTTGTTGGCTTTATTGAGCCGATGATTCGCACTCCTTCTTTTGACTACTACTCGCGTCGTCTGGGCTTCCACTCGGGCGTGGGTAATATTTCGCACAAGATCTGGTTTTTCCACTCGCGTGACTACACTTGTCGGGTCCTCCGCGACACCGATCAGGTGTTTCACGTAGAGATTTCCGCTGACCACCTCCCGGAGCCCATCTTTCACACCTTGGTTTATGCCAAGTGTACTAGGGTCGGGCGATATGACCTTTGGGACACCCTGCGTGAGATTGCCGAGAGTATGGAGGGATTGCCATGGATGGTTAGTGGCGATTTCAACATCTTTCTGCATCCCGATGAGCGTGTGGGTGGCAGCACGGACCGGTCACGGGAGATGTGGGATTTTGCTCAGGCAGTGGCGGACTGCGAGTTAATTGACGCTGGATGTGATGGTGAGCCCTTCACGTGGGTGAGGGACGGACTCAAAGAGAGGTTAGACCGTGCCTTAGTTTCTGAGGCATGGTCAAAGGTGTTTGCGGTTACGACCGTCACACACCTTACTCGATTTGGGTCCGACCATTCACCCCTTCTCATCCGGTGCCGATTTTCGAGCACCCGCCGCCGCTCTTCGTTTAGGTTCCAAAACAGGTGGGTTCGCCACCACTCCTTCCACGACACTGTCAGGGATTCCTGGCTTCAGCCGACTGGGCTCTTCGGGATACGCAATCTCGAGGCGAAGCTCGGAAGACTGCGGCGTCGGTTGAGACAGTGGAACTGGGATGTTTTTGGAAACCTTCATCAACGTCTTGCTGCGGCTCAGAGTGCGCATGCGACGGCTGAGCGGGCCTATGACCTGGATCCCACTCCGGGAAATAGAACTGCCATGCACCGCTGCCACGCCGAGTACCAACTCTGACTCCTTATGGAGGAGGACTTCTGGAAGCAGAAGGCGGCCGTTCGCTGGGTGGCTGAGGGCGAGCGGAACACTAGGTTCTTCCAGGGCTACGTTAGGCAGAAGCGTGCTAAGTCGTACATCCATAGTATCGAGGCTGATGGGTCATCTTGGACCCAGGAGGCTCAGATTCGGGAGTCGGCTGTTGCTCACTTCCAGACCCTCTTCACCTCTGACAGAGGGTCCCTCGTAGCCCCGACCGCTTCTTTATTCCCCACCATCCCTCCTTCGGTCGATCTCATTGGCCTCTGTGAGCTCCCGAGCAGGGAGGAGGTTATTGATGCTGTATTCGGGATTGATCCCAACAGCGTTTCTGGCCCGGATGGTTTCTCCTCCCTCTTCTATCAGGTCTGCTGGGATCTTGTCGAGACTGACGTTCAGGAGGCGATGTTAGATTCTTTCTCCGACCACCGGATGTCGGATTCCTTCACGTCTACCTCTGTCGTCTTGATCCCCAAACGATCCAACCCGAGCTCTTGGTCCGATTACAGGCCCATCAGCCTGTGTAACTAGACAAACAAGCTCATTTCGAAGATTCTTAACGGCCGTCTTTCCCCTCTTCTCCCCTCCCTTATCTCTCCGAACCAGAGTGGATTCGTCAAGGATCGGGTCATTAGTGATAACATCCTTCTGGCCCAGGAGATGATCCACGACATCTCTCGAGCGGACTGGAAGCGGGCTCCGAATATCGCGCTGAAGCTAGACATGGCTGAGGCGTATGATAGGGTTGAGTGGCCGTTTCTTAGGGAGGCGTTGGCTAGGATGGGATTCCCTGAGCGTTGGATCAGCTTTGTGGAGGCGTGTGTGGAGCATTGCACGTTCTCGATCCTGATTAATGGCAACCCCACCGACTTCTTTCCCTCCTCTAGAGGCCTTAGACAGGGCGACCCTCTTTCCCCTTCCCTCTTCGTTCTTGCGGCGGACTACCTCTCTCGCTGCCTTGACGGCTTCATCCGCGATTCTCCCCATATGACCTATAGCACCCATGGCTATGGTCCTACCATCTCTCACCTCTCTTATGCGGATGACATCATTATCTTCACCCGGGCGGATGATGATGGACTGGTCGAGCTTATGCGCCTTTTGGAGCACTATGGCTTGGTCACCGGTCAGCTGGTCAGTGTGCAGAAGAGCACCTTCATCCTTTCATCTGCCACCGTGGACAGGTGAGCTCAGCGGGTCCACGACATTACTGGCTTTGCGCGCGGCGACCTTCCCATTACCTACCTCGGGGTCCCTTTATATAAGGGCAACCTCACGAGAGCGCTCTTTGCGGGCATCAGACAGAGGATGATCGGCAGGATCTCTGGTTGGTCACATAGATATCTTTCCTTCGGTGGTCGGCTAGCGCTGATCAAGAGCACTCTTAGCTCTCTTCCGATTCACTTGCTTATGGTCCTCGACCCCCCTAGGTCTACTCTTGACGAGATTGATCAGATTATGGCTCGTTATTTCTGGGGTTATGAGGACGGGTCTGGGAGGGGGAGACGTACTCACTGGGTGAGTTGGGACTCTATCTGCCGCCCCCTCCCCGAGGGTGGCCTTGGCATCCGCCGCCTCATGGACATTGTTACAGCTTTCTCATACAAGCTGTGGTGGCGCTTCAAGGAAGGAAAGTCGCTTTGGGCTCAGTACCTTCGCGGCAAGTACTGCCCTAGACGTGCCAACCACCCTTGTTGGGTCACGGCTGTTGATCACGATAGCAGACAGTGGCGGCGCCTCACTAGGGTCGGGAGGCGAGCCCAGGAACACATCTTTTGGGTTTTAGGCGGGGGCGATGTCAGTGTCTGGGATGAGTGGTGGGTAGGTGATAGGCCGTTGTCTAGGGATAGGCAGGTGTCGCATTCCCCCTACCTGAGCGTGAGCGACCTCTGGACGGACGGGTCGTGGGATAGGGGGAAGCTTGATAGGGAGTTGGGGGTTGGTGCGGGTTTTAGCGAGCAGTTATTAGATCAGATCCAGCAGATCCCTATCTCGGGGGACGGTTCAGATAGCATGAGGTGGAGACTTACATCATCAGGTGTGTTTTCTACTACCTCGGCTTGGGAGCAGATAAGGCTGAGGGATCGGCCTAATCTCCTCTTCGGGGCTATCTGGAGTGACCTTTTCACGCCTACTATTTCGGTGTTCCTTTGGCGCCTCCTCTTGCGCCGGATACCTGTCGATACTGTGCTACATGTGAGAGGGATCTCCTTCCCCTCTCGGTGTGTGTGTTGTTCTGAGACTGGACGACATGAGACTGAGACCTTTACCCACCTTTTTCTAGAGAGTGAGATTGTGAGGAGAGTGTGGGAGCATTTTGCCACTTGGACTCATATATCCCTACCCACCACATACAGTTTTTTTGAGCTCCTGAGTTTTTTCTCACAGAGCACACACCTTAGACACGTGGGATTCCTCATTCCTTGTCTGATCCTTTGGTTTACCTGGAAAGAAAGGAATAGTGCGAAGCATAGGGATATTACTTTTATGTTTTCTCACATTGTTTTGCAGGTGGAGAGACACATTTCACTCCTCACCGCTTTGGGCAGGCTCACGGCCCGAGACTGGACAGGCTGCACGCCACCGCATCGCTACTTGGTGGCCCCACCATCGCCTGTTTGGCCTCCACGGGCCAGAGCTGTTGTTTGGCTGCGACCTGACTCTCCGTGGGTCAAGCTGAACACTGATGGCTCCTTCGATCGCCACACTGGACTTGCCGGAGGAGGAGGCTTGATTCGGGACCATAGCGGCGCCCTAATCACCGCCTTCCACGCGTCCATTCAGTCCTCCTCGAGCTACGATGCAGAGATTCAGGCACTACAGATTGGCCTTCAGATTGCTGTCCACCTCTCTAGTCATATATGGATCGAGCTGGATGCTGCGGCTGTCGCTACCTCCTGACTTCGGGCCATCAGGGCTCGTGGCAGATTCAGCACCCGCTTCTGCGCATTAGAGATCTACTTCAGTCAGTCCATCACAGGATCACGCACATTTTCCGTGAGGGGAACAGACCGGGTGATTACCTGGCCAGCCTTGGCGCCACCATACCAGGCACACATACATTCCAGACCGACACTGCTCCATTCCGTCTTCGCACACTTGTACGGATGGACCAGCTTGGATATCCAGCGTTCCGCTTTCACTAGTTTAGGATTTCTATTTTCATTAGTATAGACATTTATCTCGGGCATCTGTTAGCCCGAAGATCGACTTTATATTGTAGTTTTTGTTTCTTTTTCGTTTTTCGGTTTTTCTTTCTTGTTTTCCTTTCGTTTTTGTTTTTGATTGTCAGACTATGTAGACCTTTGTATCTGGTTCGTTGACATTTGGGCTCCCGTTTTTGGGGCCCTGATCTATGCACAAGTTGGGGATCCAGCCCAATCCCCCGTCCTTCCGGGGCGTTGTTTGTTAAAAAAAAAAAAAAAAAAAAAAAAAAAAAAACCTAGCA